GTTCAGCAGCCACGCATGCGTTTTCAGAAGTTCAATGGTGAAATTGTGAAGTTTACTGTGGAAGAGTTGGCGGAAATAAAGAAAGTTTCCGATGGCCATCTTCATCTTCTAGGTTTCAAGCCATTAGGTTGCCTAAAGGGATATCATAATATGAGGCCATCTACATTTATATATCCTACTGATGAGGAGATAGTTGGAAGCACTCTTGCTTTCGTTGCTTTGCATAGATCGATGTTGCGTCTTCAGCGGTTCGGCGTTGCATTTTATGGGAGTTCATCTCACCCGCAGCTGGTTGCTCTTGTGGCGCAGGATGAGATAATCAGCTCTTCCGGCCAGCTTGAGCCGCCTGGAATGCATATGATTTATCTCCCATATTCTGATGATATTAGATACCCAGAAGAGCTCCTGATTCATGCTGGAGGCGCACCTCGGGCGACAGATGATCAAATCAAGAAAGCTTCTGCTTTGTTAAAGAGAATAGATTTGAAGGACTTTTCAGTCTGTCAATTTTCAAATCCCGCCCTGCAGAGACACTATGGAGTGTTGCAGGCTTTAGCGATGGGCGAAGATGAGGTTCCCAATGTTAAGGATGAAACTTTGCCTGATGAAGAAGGCATGAGGAGGCCAGGAGTATTGCGTGTGATTGAGGAGTTTAAAGTTGCTGTCTATGGAGAAAACCATGATCAGGAAGAAGCTGCTAAGAATGATTCAATCACTGAGGCATCCAAGAAGCGAAAAGCAATTTATGAAGTTGCTTTAAAGGAGTCTGCAAGTTATGATTGGGCTGATCTTGCTGAAAATGGAAAGCTCAAGGATCTGACTGTGATAGAACTGAAGAGCTACCTTACGGTGCACAACCTACCAGTCGCTGGGAAGAAGGAAGTTTTGATAAGCAGGATATTAACCCATTTAGGGTTGTAAGTTTGCCTGGCAAATCATTCATGACTGCTTCTTATTGGAGGTGAAAGTTATGACTTCCTGGATCCTTGTAACAGTTTTTTGTTTTTGTCTTTTTCTCCTTAAAACTTTCCAGTTGAAGTTCCAGTGTGATTGATTGCTTTGATCCTTCTACCCTAAAACTTGAAATATGGTCTATGGGGTATTTTGAATGTGCTTCAATTTTGTAAATTTCCAGGCATGAAATGCATGAGCAGTTTTTGTCACACTGATATATTATTTTTGTCACAATGATATATTGTTCTCTGTCTCTGCTGTAATTTAACCACTATATTTTGCTTTGCTTTTTAAAGCCAGTGTTTGATACACTTTTCTTCTATAATTATGTAGGAAATGATGCTCATGGTAGGTGAAAATTATCTCTTTATAAATTTTGCAAATATTCTATGTAAATGTTCTTTACTAGTAATTAATTTAGCAATTATTGGTAGCTATTTTCAGTGTTTTTATGCGTTTCATTCGATGAGTACTAATTGATGAATTCTGTGAAGCTACAAAGACCATTATTTTTTATAAACTAAGATTTTGTTATCAAATGAAAACAGTCAGATTAGAAAGTTGATTATATTACTATGATATATTCTCATAAATTAAAGATGTTCTTCTTGTTATTATTTTTCTTTGTATTTATCCATACAAAGGCACCTACATTAAGTAAATAGGATATAACAAAGATTTTTCTCTCTAGGATGGCATTAGAGAAGGGTATTCTAAAGCTTGTTCCTCCCCCCTCCCCCCTCCCCCTGCAATTCCTGAAACCTTAAAACCTTAAAACTTCTTTTCAATTCTCCCATTAGAACGACGGTTGGTCATGGTGATGATTGTGGCTATTTTCATCAACTATTTTTCAATTTGTTATTATTTTTAGAAGACCAATCACTCATAAGGTTGCAAATAATAGTAAGGTTTAATAAAATAATATCTATAGGTAGTTTACATAAAATTATAACATATAAATTTTTCCACAATCGTGGAGAGATCCATATTACAATTTATAACTTATTGAACCAATGTACATCGGAATTGCTCAAACGTGTAGATGTTGAGCTCATGATTTTAAATGATCTTTTTGTGCTTCAACTAGTTTAACTAGCCATTAGGGTGATTTGAGCTAGCCATTGGGGCTATGATACAAGTCTTTGGATTTGTTTTAAATACACTTCGCAAGCTTAGAATATGAATTTTGCAAACACCAAAGCTATGCTAATACAAACAACAAGATATAATAGTGCTCTAAGAGATGTTTAAGTAATAAAGCTGAGGAGGCTTCAAAATTTCTACGCGAGGGGCATTCTTTGATTTCCAAACCAGCAGATAATTACAATCTTGTTTTTGGAGAAGATTGTGAAGACCTCCAGAAATCTCTTGAACAAGCTAGAAAACTTGCTTTGAAGAAACAGGATGAACTAGTTCCTTTTTCTGGTCCTCAAGCAGTAGCTCTTTTAGCTACAGCTCATAAAGATCATGATGATGCTCAGGATTCTGCAGCAGGAGACGCTCAGGAAAACAAAGTTGTGATCACAGGGATGGAGGAATTTGTGTTGGGTTTACAAATTAATGAAGGTATCAAAGCTTCTCGTTTTCTTTGTTAGTTGTTTCTCCTCTGAGAAAACCGGGCCCTTTGTTTAATAATTACTGTTTGCGCTATTAGAGCAATAATTTCAATGTTTTTCTATCACAGAAACAAATAATCCTGATTCCGAAGATGTTTTTAAAGATGACGAAGATGTTCCACGTCAATTGATCAAGATACAAAAGGTGAGATTGGTAGCTGGACAGAAGCAAGAGAAATAGAAATGGATGAACTGTCCATTTCTGAAGAGAAATGAAATTACCCCAGATGAAAAGGATTAGCAGGTGCACTTAAGTTGCTCAAGTATCATGGGACGTTGAAGGAAAGCATTGGTTATGGTGGTAGAAATATGGATAAAAAGAAAAGTAAATTGGTTGGCATCCATGCTAATGACGGTTCAAATGAAAGTCGCATTGAAAGAACTGATGAGTTTGGTCGAATAGTAAGTTTACTTTTCTCTATGTCGTAGTTTTTTTTTTTTTCAAGTCTTTTCATTTTGAGCATGATTGCTAGCAGCTTTTCTGAAATTTTCTTTTATTTCTTGATACGGAAAATATTGTTCCGGCTTTATTTCTTTTATTAAATTGTAATGTCATGTCATGGATTGCACAGAAAAAGAGTCAGGTCCCTTCATTACTTTGTTTCAAGATGAGCTCTTGTTGAAGATCTAAAAGATTTTTACAGAATAGGCTCAACACATCATGTATCCTATATCTGGAATGAATGTATAAAAGGTAATTCATAAAGCTAACCCCAAACAATTGAGATAAGGCTGTGAAAATGCTCAACTCAAGCTTGACTTAGGCTTGACCTTTGACACCGTTGTTTTCCATTGCCGAAGTTTTCACATTATTGCCATAATCTTGTAGCTTCATTGATGACTTCTTTCCTTTTTTCCCCCATATCTTGCATCATTCATCTTTGTTATCTTGTTTCTATCATTTTTTTATGCAAACTTAATTTTTAGTACAATTTTTTCTTTTCTTGATATTATGCTTGTTTGGAACTGAGGTCGACAACCGAGTCCAACTTGAGAGTTGCAAATATACATCTAACATAATGATTGAATGGGAAGAACAATCTCAAGCGATCTGTTACAATTGGCTCACTTTTTTTAAAAAAAAAGGGAAAAGGAAAATGAACTAATTACTTGCCAATGGATCTAAAGAAGGTGATCGCCTATTAATATATAGGATGAACATGATTATGGTGATGTATTGGCTATGGAACTGTATGGTTTTTGATATAACTAATAGAACTCCTTTAATCAAGAAAGGAAATATGGAGTATGGTGAATCAAATACATTTTAAAGTTTGTAATGCTGCATAAACCTATGAAGATCAAGATATCATCCATGAATCAAGAAGGATGATTCTTAACGGAATATACCAATCAAATAAGGCTTGTAGTAGAAGATGGATCATTATTAAATGTAGTAGAAGATGGATCATTATTAAATGCATCCAAATGGAATACAACAAAGTTGTAGCTCTTCTATTTTTTTTTTTTTTATTTGTTGAAGACTGAATTTATACTTTTCTTACTGGTTTATATATTGAGTTTGATGCTATAAGGATATAGATTTTTTAGGAAAGTTGGATTTAATATCACTAAATGGGGGCATTGTCATTATTTGAGCTGAAGAGAGGCTGTCGACATTAAGAACTGTGACTCAAAATTCTCTTCTATCGAGAACCACGACTAGTAACCTTAGCAAAAACTATTAGTTGGGATTCTCTATGGAGCTCATTTTGCAAATGCGCTTAACATCTAAAGGAAATATTTTGAAATTTCGTGGCAAATCATAAAAGAAAAATTAAATGGAAAAAAGGAGATCATATAAAAAAGTAGGGACGTGCATTCAAATAATAAATGGGAGAAGGTAACACTAAAGAATCTTCTGTTGAATTTCCGAAAGAAGTAGAAAAGTTGAAAATTTTGTTGATATTACTAGGAAGGGTGCCATTGGATGGTGCTTGTTCCTAGTACTTTTTGATATTACCTCCTCTTTTAAAGCTCCAATAGTCTTAGAAATACCCATTTTTAATTCTTGCATCATTAATTCACGTGCTACAAGGCATATGACTAAATCATTAGACAAATTTATTTCATAATTATTTTATCTAAGTCTAATAATTAGAAATTAACCATTGTTGGTGAATGCTTGATGACTATGACCGATTGAGGAGACATTCTTATAAACATATCACTCAGTTTCAAAAATGCACTCAATGTAAGTTATTCATCAACTTGTTATCAGCCAAGGATCAAGGAGGCTTTGGACAACTAACTTTTCATATATTTTTTATTTTAATAACTTTTAATTCTTTTCTTTAAAAAAAAGCTCAACACTTGTCTTGGTCATCCTTCATTTATTTTTTTCAAAATTATGTTTCTTTGTTTTATTATAAAACAATTTTTAAGAATTTTATTATAATTTTTGTCAATATTTTTAAAAGTGCGCTTCATGTGCAAAGCGAAGCAAAGTGTGTAAAATCCGCTTCGCTTCACTTAAGCGTGCTTCAAAACACTGAAGCCAATTTGCTCGCTCATGGTTTAGCTAGAGTAAATAAAGGCTTTAGTTTGGTGTTCGAAGGAGCGCAAGGAGTAGACAATCATGTTTGAGAGTTTGAGGAGCACAAGGGCGCCGAGCTTCGTCTTCAACTTTGGCCTAGATATCGAAGCGCGCTTCAAACGATGTGTTTTTCCTTCGACTTTGTCCTAGACTTCAATTTAGCTCTCAATTCCTATGTATTTACATATGTAATACCTAAACTTCATTTTTTACATATTATATTTAGGTGTTAGATATGTAAATACATAGGATTTGGGTAGTATTATGTAAATACCCCTTTATTAGGTAATGAGGGTGAATAACAAAAGATTAGGTTTTCGAGCAAATTTTGATTAATACCAAAACATTTTACTTCTAATTTTAATTTTTAAAAGAAATAAATATTTCTCTCAATATTTGCTTTCAAGGTAGGAATTGTATTGCATTCTTTTTTATTTTTTTATAAATATTTAAGTTATACTTTATGTTTTGTAATTGTTCATGAATGTATTTATGTAATAATAGTTTTACATAAAATATTAGCACTTTGGTTATAAAAGTGTCTCTTCATTTTGCGCTTTGCACTTTGAAGCAAAATGAAGGCTTTGCGCATTGCGTTTTGTGCTTTGATAAAACTGATTTTTTGGTAATGGGCAAAATACAAATGTACCTGTTTTTTAAGATGTGACACAAGAGCTCTATTAGAAGATATCAGAAGATTTATTAGAAGATATTGAACGATTTTTTTATTTATTTTGTTGCCTTTCCTGTTATTTCTTTTTATATGAGTTTTCTTGTTTATGCCTTTCATTTTTATTTTTTGGGTGTTATTATGGAAGATTTGGGTATTATATCTTTCATTTCCTGTACCCTTGTATCATGTATTAATACCCTTTTTGCTGCTTAATAACATTATTATGTTTTATTCTCAAATCTAACATGGTATCAGAGTCATGGTTCTAACCCTAGCCTCCGCAGGGACTCTTTCTA